CGCCATCTTGTCAGCACTCTAGTTGTTTAATAGCTCTATGGTAATAAAAAGAATATACAACCGTTAGTTGGCGTCCTACACAGGCATGACGTTTTTACGAACGGGACTTTGCTCTCTTGTTCTATTTATACTCTTTGATTCCATCTACATTCACTTATCCCTAGAATTTCCATGTTATATTTTTCCATTTCTCGTATAACCTGGTTTGTTTTTCCGGCTTCGTACATTGTTCTAACATTCCAGCATCCTAAAAAAAGTTTTTGCTGAGGTGACAAAACAGAGTTCTTCCGGTCTGAAACTTCCTTACGGCTTTCATTCCAGCCCCTCATCAGCGGTACATTATCACCAACCCTCCTTCGTTCACCCAAGTCTTCAATTTAAATGTTCTCATTTGTTACTGTTTCTGTAGCAAAAATCTTTTTCCGTGGTAGCGGCGCTAACGCTACGCACAACCTTCTCAGGATTATTGTTTGGACTATTATTTGTCTGTCCTCTCCCCAATGGTCTGTTCGACATGGGTGACCCTAACAGTAGCTAAGCTACAGTCGACATAGCCCATTGGATCACTGAGGAACACAAGCTTCTCCACCACGTCAAGGTTATAGTCCCAGAAGAAGAATATTATTTTACCGTGTACCATAATTGGCAATGATCCAAAACAAAACATGCTGTATTGAATTGGAAAAAAAACATGCTGTATTGAATTGGGAAAAAAAAAACTTCACATATAAATTTGGTCTAAATGAAGTCTTTGTTTACAATAAACACAGTGGCGACGAAGATGACTGGAATGTAGCAATTAATACTTATGGCGCTGTAAGCCACATGATGTATGAAGTAATTGTTTTGTGAAACTTCGGAAAAAATACCAATTTGCATCAACGCAAAAGTTTGTGAAAATTATACTACAAAGTTAAAGAAAAATTAAATTTTCATCTGACACAAAGTTGATTAAGAAAAAAAATTCAAGGTTATAGTTTTATTTTGGCTCAATTTACTGTACTTTAAAGGGGTCCCGGAGTAAAAGTTGTTTATTTAGTAAGAGTAATTACGAACTTTAACAGTCAAAATTCACAACTATTACGAGCTCAGCAGTGAAGAACGTTGTAAAATGGGTTCTCAATAACAGTAAAAATTACTGAAATGGTATTTTGAATAGCCTATTATAAGACTTGCGTACGACAACAGTGGTAAACAACAATATTTAGGCTTACTTTAAATCCAATAAACATTGTATTCGTATAGTTTACAAGAACAACAAAAACCAGAAGAATATGAAGAAGAACAAGAAGAAGAGGAGGAAGAAGAAAACAAATAAGAAGAGCAAAAGGAAAAAAAAAAAAAAAGAAGAAGTTGACAGTGGAATTTGAACACCGAACTTAAGGTGAATGTAGATGTAAGACATCATTCTAGGATTCTGTAATTTATAAAACTCAAAATAAAGGGGTGTCTTTTCTGTACCAAGTTTAAAACATCCATTCAAGGACGCTAAATGGGAAAAGTTTACTCACATAGGCATGTACACGTTTTGTACCATGAATCTGGATTCTAGGCAAAAAGTCACGAGCCTTGACAAATTGATGAATCAATAAAAAAAACAAAAAAAACAAGTACAAGTTAATATTTTTTTTTCTCTTTTGTAGGGATTTCACCTACTTTTATTTTCAATAAAATACATTTTTCGATGTTAAAACATCTCAAGTTTATATAAAGAATAACATATATAATAATATTTAAAAACACACGCATGTAACAAGAAATAAAACGGTGTCAGTCCAAAGCGGCTGACTAATACATTTTTAACATTTATTTCGAATATTTCAGTGGTTATACACCTTTCCTTTTACTTTTCTTTTACATTTTCTTAATAAACGCCTAAGGGTAATATCTGCCACTCTCCTAGACACAAATTCATCATTTTCAAATCTCTTAAAAATATAATTTGCCCTACTCACAATATTCCTGGTACACACCACATATCTAAAGGCGAAACATGTAGCAGCCCTCGCAGGGATGGCGCCAGCGGGGGGCCGGGGGGGCGCCCCCCCCCCCCCGTCGGGGAGAGCTTCTCCCCCCCCGTCGGGGAGAAAAAGCTCAATCCGTCGGGGAGAAAAAATATTATATGTATTTTTAACATATTAGTAGACTCAAAAATCGATTATATAAGCCTTTGAAACCCCTAAATTTCAACATTTTTGGGGGGCTTCGCCAACTTTGCTTTCGTCGGGGAAATAATCTGTCTCTTATACACATCTAGACATATATATATATATATATGTATATGTGTGTATGCTGTCTCTTATACACATCTAGATGTGTATAAGAGACAGGTCCTCTACGGCTGTCTAATTAATTAATTTTTGCTTTTACATCAGTTAATCAACATTGTATGTTTTTTTAAAGTACACCTAATACCATTAGGAATATACTTTTCTGATTTTTTAAAATAAATTATTTGTTTTTATTATTCATCTTTTTTTATTTTTAATTAATTTATTTATTTAAATTTAATTTTATTTATTTATTCATATATCGACCTATATATACTGTTTAGTTAAGGCATCATTCTTCTATGTCAAGACCATACAACATACAACATTTTATTCTATTCATTCATAAGATTTGCCGTATCCTCGAATAAACTGTCATTATAATAATCAATTTCAATATCATCAAATCTTATATGCAAGCTTTTTACAAATTAATGTTAAATTTCAATATTAACAATATAATTAACCTAATATTTTTCTCTTACTTGTTGTAAAGTGACGCTTGGTAAACCGTCATTATTACGACGTGATTTGCGCATGTTTAATGTCCACAACATCAGACCAATAATAATAACAGACAAAAAAAAGCAGACAAAATTGCAGCAACGATAATTCCTAATCTGTCTTGCAAGCTAGAACTGGTGTTTTTCTGGGTGTCAGGAATGGCTGTTTCACGCGACGGTGGCAAGACGATTGCATCTGATCTTGTCAGTGCAGCCGGGGTCTGTGTACCTGCAAAGAAAATAAATATTTTACGTCACAAATCAGAGAACAATTGTGAATGCTCCATTAAACGCTTCAGCGTTTATTGCATACCGTATATATGGGCCTTTCTTTGATCTTTGTTGAATATCACAGAGCTTAATCGATTCTGTAGGGGTTTATAATCATAATGTCATTTTATGTGTACTACCATTGGGATAGAATTAAAGACCATTTTTTTACATATAAAAACATACTAGCGTTGCAATAAGTCAGATGTGTAATTTTATGCATAGTACCAACTACTGCTCTTGAGTAAGAGAATTAGTCCTGCTCCTGAAAACACACCTCTAACACAAAAAAAACCTCCTCTCTTGAATAAGCTACATACAGAACTCTCCAAATAATTTTATAAACGCCATGGTACTTATGAGAACATGGTACTTGCCTAAATAGTGTCACATGTTTGTATTAAAACAGTTAAAAGTCTGTCATTAATCATTTCTCTCAGTTATGTTACAACCAAATTTCATTTCATTTGTTATATAATCGATTGGTATATATATTCATTTAATTATTGATTGATTAGTTGATTGATTTATTGATTGATTGATTGATTGATTGATTGATTGATTGATTGATTGATTGATTGTTGGATGGATAATGGATGGTCAGATGGGTGGATGAACGAAAGCAAGGAAAGAAATAGATGGAGAAGACAATGAATGAGTTTATTTTTTCGATTGAACTTTTGTGTATTACTTAACTTACTCGAAGGCGGTGTAGTTAACGCAATGAAATCATTACTCCATGGTCCATCGCCCTTTATTGTGTACGCCCTAATACGAAATGTATATAATTTATTTGCTTCGCATTCCTGGAAAATTACTCTGCGGTTTGTTGTCAAAGCATCTTTCACCATTGTACCAGCAGATGAATTGCCCTCGTACAGTTGATAACGGTATTTTATGATAACTCCATTCTTTTTATCCTCGCTAGGCTCTTTCCAGTTAAAAATCAAATCTGTTTCTGACATTCTGTAAGTGATGTTCATCGGAGGGCCACTTGGTGCTGAAAAAAATCATAGTATACAAAATATTAAAACGACAACGACGACGTCGACAACAATGAAGATGGTGATGATTTCTATGAGCGGACTGGAACAGCGGTTGCGGTTCTGTTTCTCAATTTTGAGGTCGGAGGTTCAATCCCTCACTGTGCACGTCGCTTGTGTCCTGGGCAAGGCACGTTACCTACGGTTGTCTCTCTCCACCCAAGAGTACAAGTGGGTACAGTACCGGGTTAGTACAAACACAAAAATGCGCTGATTAGAGCTGCAAAATTATAGAATTCTGACCAGGGAGCTAAGTATGGTTTCCTTATGTGCTTAATCCAATGACCGAGGGTACCGTAATAATATAAAGCACTAAGAGGCCATGTTGGCATTAAGCTCTATTATTATTAAGCTCTATTACTATTACTATTACTATTGCTATCGTTATTGTTATTATTGCTATTGTTATTGTTATTGTTGTTGTTATTATTATTATTATTATTATTATTATTATTATTATTATTATTATTATTATTATTATAAATGGTTAAATTACCAGTCTGATGTGTCGTAGCGTTGACAGTTGACACTTTGCCTAGCTTCGTAGTCTTGGCACTAACCATGATAATGTAATTAGTATATGGATTCAGATTGGTTATGAAAGTGTAAGTCTGCAAGTGTGTATTAATGGACCTAACTGTTCCGGATCTTCGTTCAATGTAGGTCACGTTATATGCTGTTATTTTTCCGTTTTTAGCAGTCGGTGCATCCCATTTGACGATTATTCTGTCGTCTGAATCCACAAAGACTTTGATATTCTGTACAGGTCCCGGGGCTAAGAAAAATTAGAAAAGAGTATTTATTTTACTATAAAGTTATCATATTTAATAAAATATAATTTATTATTATAATATATATATATACATAATATGTATATATATATATATGTATGTGTGTATGTATGTATATATATATATATATGTATATATGTTTATATGTATATACATACATATGTATATATGATATACATAATATGTATATATAATATATATATATTTGTATGTATATATATATACATATATACATACATACGATTAACGGCATTTACTTACAAGTATGTGTGTATGTATATATATATATATATATATATGTTTATATGTATATATATATATGTATATATGATATACATATATATATATGATATACATCTGCTAAGTACCCAATGCCGAATTCAAGGGGACCCAGCCAATATTTTTTAAAAAATGGAGGTATATATAAAGAAAATTTGTTTCAAATTTTATGTCTGGAAGTGCAATTTCCGGCCATCTAGAGGTGCCATAATCACAAATTTTCTTACCTCAGCCCGGACCAAGGTGTGGCTGAGGTAGTATAGATCAGAGATGGCGCCAGGATTTGTCCGACGGAGGGGGGAGGGGGCGAGGTCCCTGACGAGGGGACCGATGCCCCCGACGAGGGGTCAGATTTCTCTGATGAAAGCAAAGTGAGCGTGGTCGGGCTTCGATTAGAAGGCTTAGAAAGTGGTGCAGGGGGCGAAGCCCCCGAAAATTTAGGGATTACAAAGGCTTATTTAATCGATTTTAGAGTCTATTAATATGTAGAAAATACATATAATTTTTTTTCTTCCGTACGGGGGGTGGGGGTGGGAAGCTTTCCCCAACGGGGGCCCTGCCCGCCCCGATATAGGTCTTCTATCTGTGAAAGTACCCTCCCTGGGCCCTTCTATTTCGAATTTCTGGATCCGCCACAGGAAATTACAACAAATATGAAATGTATATATAACTTCATGCCAATAAAATATATATAGCCTGTCTCTTATACACATCTAGATGTGTATAAGAGACAGGATTAGTTTATTTTATTTCCGTTTTTCATGGTTCGAATGCGTCACAAGCTAATTAGTATCTGTCTCTTATACACATCTAGATGTGTATAAGAGACAGTATATATGTAGATCCCATGCCTTGGATATGAACAAGAAAGAAAAGACTTCAAAGGCATAAATTGTTGTTTCAGGTTTATTCCAAACGTTTCGCCGGTTAGGGCTTCATCAGTGGACTAACATCGTATATTACGCTTTGGACACTAACACAAATGCGTGTAACTGCCGTGTAAAAAGTGAATGCCCACTACCCGGCAAGTGTTTAACCGAAGGCATAGTATACCAAGCAACTGTAACGAGAGAGGACAGTAATAAGCACGGGACATATACATAGGCTTAACTGAAAATCAGTTCAAAACTAGATTTAGAAATCATATGAGTTCATTCCGAAATGTAAATAAAAGAAACAGCA